AATCGTCGAGAAGAGGAGATAGATTTTGCGAGGAGAGTAGTACTGAAAGAANTTTTTTTTTTTTATCGTTGTTGAATGTAAAATATCACGAGAAACTTCGTTTTAAAAAGTTCGACAATTCTCTGGATATCCTCCATCACCCTCCATCGTGGCTAATCAAGAAGCAAACAATCTTAACGATCTCGTAATTTTGGAAAACTTTTCTCCACCGTCGTCATAACGATAAACACGAAAAAGAAGAGGAAGAAATATTGTGAAACTTCATCGAACTCATCGTCAAAACAAGACTATTCTCGAACGAGAGAGGACGAAGAAAAGTTGCTCGTCCCGATGGAGGAAACGATCAAACTATCGTCTTGGTTTTCCGCTCTCGAGAGTTCCTCAGGCGCGGAGGAGGGTCGAAGGATCACGGGGGGAGGGGAAGGGGAATGATGTGGGCACCTTTGGCTAGGGGTAGGCGGAAGGAACGCGAAGAAGGGAGGGAATTAGCGAAGGAGAGAGGACCCTCGCAAGATTTCCGGGAGTTTAATATAGTTTTAGGGGCGTCGGCCGACAGCCTAGGGGTGTAATGGCGTCTTAAACCTCAGGGGCTCTCAGTTTCGACTTCTATCCCTTTTTTCCTCCACCTCGTTTCTCGTTCCTCTCCCCGTTTGAAAAATTGAGAGCAAATTGGAATCTCTACCGGCAGCCAGTTTAAATCTTTGACCAGATCTCCCTTCGTCTCGCTTCGAGAACACATTTCTCGATTTCTTCGAGAAATTTTCGAATGTGTATATTCGATGGTTACATGTTTTGGTAAGAGGATTCAGGAAAGCTCGTGGAGTTGATGTCACGTTGAAACGTGTATCTGTGTGTGCGACAAAAAAGCGACGAGCAAAGGAAACGTAGGATTCACCGATGCGCATTTACGTTGTAGATACTACGTGGAGCGACCAGTGGTTGGGTTTTCTCCTCTTCTCTTCGCCCTCCTCCTTCTTAGATGAAGACGAAAAGGGCAACCTCGGTGCAAAAGCTCCGGCGGTTCTTGATTTTTACGAGCACGTAAATTCCAGAAGACGTCCCTGCTCTCCTAACTTCCTTCCTCCTCTTCTTCCTTTTTACCCGTCTCTTTTTCCCTTTCGTGCCGTTTGAGAATTCTTCCGTTCGATGTCCTTCATGGAGAATTGAAATTCGCTCGAGCGAATATATTTACGGGATTGAAATTTTCTACAGAATTTTTTACGAAAGGAAATTTTTATAATTCGAAATAATTTACGTTTCTTTTTTCTTTTTTCGTGTCATCAATATTTGTTTCGTTCTTTTATTTATTTTTTCCTCTTCTTTATTTCAATGGGAAATCGTATTCTTTTTTTTTTTTTTATTTAAGTATACGCGTGGATATTGGTATTTGAAAAGATTTTTCGAAAGAAACCGATTTATATCGAATAGGCAACCTCGGTACGGAAAGTTTTTGATTTTACGACCGCGTAAATTCCAAACGGTACTCCAGACTTCGTTCTCCGCTCTCATTTCTCTCCGGTTTTCCAAGCTCCTCGCTTAACGCCGTGAAAATTCTATTCATCCTGGCGGAGAACTTGATGGAATTTCATCGAGCGAGGGCCTCGGCGAATTCCAACAGCGCGCCCTTGACGATTCACCCTTAACCCTGAATCCTCCCTTGAATCCCGATTTTAAGTATATCGGAATAATTGTGATCCTTCTTTTTCGGACAACAATCTGATTATTAACAACCTCTCATTTAATAAATTTTCATTTCAATTTTCATAAATATATTTATAAATATTCTCGTCTTTGAATTCTCAATCAGATCGATCTCAAATTTATCCCTTCTTTGCTCTCTCGATATTCGCTCATTTCATCGATTATTTAATCCTATAAAATTTTCATTTCTTCCTTCGTCTCTGATAAATTTGGTTCATCTCGCTCGTTAATCGTCATCTTACCAAATCCCCCTCGAAACATTCGGTTCCTTTACTTACGTCCCGCGGACGCGTAAATAAGAAAAGGAAAATCAAAACTGGTGGCAATTTATCCGAAAAGAAATCAAGATAACGATCGGGTATAATCGCAAAGGTGATCGACGGGTCGGTCGGGCGAGG